CGCTGGACATCAAGCTGTCATCAAAATTGTCTTTACTGAGTTATGGATTGGAAATATGCTGCAATGAGACCGTCAAGCAAAATAAGTTTATTGTAATTTTTTTTTTTTTTTTAAGATTTATTTTTGGGTTTTTTGTGCCTTTAAAGAAGCGATAGGAGAGTGGATAGAGCTGGAAATCAGGGAGAGAGGGAGAGAGAGAAAGAGAGTGAGGGGGAATAACATGTGGGAGAAGAGCCACAGGCTGGATTCGAGCTGGGCCGCCCGCTTTGAGGACTACAGCCTCCAGACATGGGGTGCGCACACTAACCACTGCGCCGCCAACGCCCCAAATTTATTGTATTTTTAAAGCTTTCTTGGAATTGAATTAATTTGAATGGCAGTTGATTTGCGTTTGACATATCCGATGTCAGGCACTTTTAATAAGCCAAATCAAGCAATTCATGTGATGCTACATCAATTGCTATTGTAAGCTTAAATAAATTCAAGCCATCTTGCAAACAGCTGACTGCTTATGAAAAAAATGGCATGTCCTCAAAAATCTTCCATGTTAAATTGCATTTCAGCAGTCGTTCAAAACCGGACATACATGTATGGCTTACACCTATCATTGGACATCAGGGCCAAACATGTTCTTAACAATTGGCCCGTTGCTGCCTCTACCACACCTGGGCCAAGTGTGGTTTCACATGTCTTATTCCAGTGTTGACTGAATATGAGCCAAATATGGGCCGAACGTCTCTACGATATGGGGATGACAAAAAATACCCTTACAATAGGGACACCTCAAGTTATTTCGACCAACACTGAGGCAGCAGAACAATTTGTCCTGTACTACCTGTGAACTGTTTTGGACATGGCATGGATGTGAGAACAGCTCTGTGGCATTTTGAGAAGGTGAACTATAGAACCTCACACATCCTGCCACCCCTCTTCTTCCCCGTGTCCATCACCTGTTTCCCCTGAGCTGCGCGCCTGCTTCCACAGCGGTGAAATCAAGTGGAACCACAATTACAGCAGCCTCCTATTGTTTACAGGACGCTTCTTCACAAAGGACAGACACCTCAGGCAGGCAGGTGAGACAAAGGGAGACGGGCCGAGAGTGCCCGCTGCAAAAGGTGATACATGATGTGTCATGTAAAAGCTGCAAAAGGTGACACTTCATTCCTGTGAGGAAGGAGCTGCAGAATGTAATATGGAGGGGAAGTATGAAGACTGTGAGGTGGCTTCAGTGACTTCAGGTATGTTTTTGTGTGGGTGTAACCGTCTGGCGATGTCCAGATACACACATTCCTCCTGTGATTCCTGTGTTCAGGCCTCATCAGAACATTTCAGCTCTCTTTCATCTGTCTGCACGGTATCTTAAACCCTGACATCAAACAGGAACAACCTGTATTGTGTAGTCACATTAACACAACTACAAAACCCAGAAATGGAAATGCTTGTAAAGTTGTGAATAACTGTTCTGCACATCTTGGCTTTTTTACAAGGAGGAAAGAAATATACTGTACGAGTCTGTGTGATGTACTGACGTACTGTGGGGCAGACAATTCTAGACATATGTGCCATTTAATGCTCCTTTATACCAATTCACTATTGAATGGAAGAATGTGGGACTTTTTGATCCAGTAGAATTTGCCCTTGAGCACCAGCATGACACCAAAACAAACTGCTGTTGGGCGACACCTCCGCTATTCTGAAGCCTCCGCTCTCCTCCAGCGACACACCTGCAACCCCTCTCCACTCCTGTTCGCATGAAGGAGTTATGAATTAGAACTCACCATAATTAAGCACCATTAAGCGCAAGCGGCGGACAAATTTGTGCTTTGCTCGAGCTGCAATTTCCTGTGTCCTGCACTGTTTTGTTAGTAGGCTGATGTTAGCGCTCTTTGGTTAGCTCGTAGCTTCATTGTGAGCATAAATTGACAAAGAATGACCGTAATCAAAAGCCAATCAAGTCAATGTGGCACTGATTCCAGAGCTCCTCTCTGATTGGTCTGAGAGGTGGGTACAGTAACAGGAGGATAAAAGGTGTGTGAGGTCAACAGACTGGTGGAGGTGTGTCACTTTGTCCATCCTTTTTCACTCACAATGCCTTCCATCTAATTCAATTCAATTCCATTCAATTCAAAAAACTTTATTTGTCCCCGGGGGGCAATTCAATTCGATTCACTCATCTAGAAATACAACATATTCATAGCACCTATATAGTTTGGCCATACAGGCTCAGTTTTCATACCATAGCAGCTGCTTGGCTCCATGAGTTAGCCTTCTTGTTGTTAATTGCCTGACAGAATGAGAAACCACTTTGCATGTGTGTGGCCTGCCTAATGCAGTGAGAGCAATATCATTACGAGAAACCTTTCCAGACGCAGACACGATGAAGAATTACAGCACAGATTTCAGCACAACGCAGCAATTACAGGAGCTAATGTGCGATCGTGTTAGCGTTGTGAAATATAAGCCTCTGCCTCCCTGCACCGTGAACGCTTACTCTGTTTTACATCCAGGCAGAGCATCAGAAACCCTCGAGAAGAAGCCGAAGGAGAAGCAAGGCAGAGGGAGAAGGAGACAGAGAAAGGATTTATCTCTCCCTGCAGATGTAAAGAGCGCTACTTGGGCTCCCAGTCAGCAGCCAGGACAGTTTACAAGCTGCAAAAAAGATTGATTGTCTATGGATCGCTGTCCCTGCATGGCTGCCAAACTCTGAGCTAATTAAAGAACACTTCTCCGGAGGAACACTGAGCGGCAACCAAGCACATCCTCTTCCCTCTCATGGAAACATGTTGCTCCGGAGTCCCTCTGGAGGAAAAAACCCACTGTAAACCAGTTATGCCAGGTGTCTCCATATGTGTAAAATACCATCATCAACAGAGTAGAAACTTAGAACATCTGCATTGTGTTATTGAACTTGTTTTAAAACTTTGCCTGACATTCACCTGTGGCAACGTCAGGGACGTACAAGAAGCAGGATATATTTTTTTCAAACAAGACATTCACTCCAGACGAGTCATTAAAAAACCTGTATGGCTGCAAACACCCTGTTCTTCTTTGATAAAATGTTACTTCTCCAATCTTTTAGCAAGAAATACACTGAGGTATTGGCTAATCAGTCTGCATTCATTTCTCTGCACGCTTTCATTGCACATCACAAAAGAAGCAATGACGCATGGAGAGCTGCTGGCCAGCATTTGGTAGAAGACAGCATATTAAGCTAAGAATGTAGAAACTGTTGAAACTAATACATTGATGAGGAAAGATATTTGAATCAAGACTATCATCATAATGATGAGGAGAAAAGGTTTCTCCACTTCAAACAATTGTAAGGAACCTGTACATAATATACGAACAAGAAGCCCCTTATACATTGCTTACTCAACAGATACTTATGTTATATCTGTGGTATTTATGTTCAACACATGGAGGCTGAGAGGCAGGATTTGGAGGTGTAATGGGGGGGAAATGGTGGAAATGCTTGTTTAAAGGTGGGCCTCTTGTGCTTTGGCAAAGTTGTATCACAATGTGATGACACACTGGAACAAACCGTTGCAGATTCAACAAATGTGTAACTACAGCAGGTCTTTGTCATGACACTGTGATGGACTCACAATGTAAAAAACAGGCTAGTTTCAATCTCTGTGCCATGGCTGAAGAGTCTACAGTTAAGATTATGATATTATTCTTTACATCTTCACATTCATCGTACCACAAAGTGAGAGTACTGTTCTCTTAAAAAATCTGGTCCCTGAAAGTGTGCAAAACGTGTGCTTTCAGTTTCCTTCCAACTTGTTGCATCATGGGTATTATACATATTATTATGCCCCTTTCAGCACAGGGGACTTCACGAACACTGACCTCTAAGTCTGCACGTCAAACTGTTCACTTTGGATATGTGTATTATGCCAAGTCAAGGCCGTATCATTTTTGGTTTGAGTGTCAGCAGGCTAATAAGCTAATAGGCACTTAACAAAGAGCTCAGCAGAGGATGCTGAAAATAACCTGTTTAGTGGATATTCGGTCATAAACCAAAGCACTGAAAGGATTGAAATTTAGACATAATGAAAGCTAATCCTCTGAAGAACATACTAGTCTCAGACAAATGTAATATAAATTAATTCACCCAATTCAACCAAGCAAAACACAAAAATTCTGATTTAATGCACCAACACACAGGAGTTTTGGACATCCCTCGGTTTGCCAGGCAAATGTCAAACCATAAGGTGTTGCAGCGATGGAAGCGAACAAGAGAACTGGTTCAGATACAGCTAATTCTACCCGACCTTAAAAGCCTCTGCATGTTTCTAATAAACTCCTAGAGCAGAAACGTGCTCAAACTAGTATACATATTGGAGATGCTTTTGAATAAATGGAGAGATGTTAGAACGATAAAAAGGTTTCGAGACCGATGAAGAGCTGGCTAAACACTGAAGCTTCAGTGTCTGAGACATAACCTGCATGCGCATTAACTCTAGGGAGGAGGGGACTGGGGGAGACAGCTCTCTCAATAGTTTTGTATTTGGACTTCAGTACCAATTCTAAACACTAGGTGTCAGAGTTACATATTGCTCTAACATTTTGCTAATGTGTTTCAGGATTGTAATCGCTAGTCTCAAGTCCTCTTCAACACTGCATGATGTTCATGTCGTAACTAACATATTTCAAGTTAAATAAACAAGCAAGCAGAGTAAGCTTTATGGCATGGCTACATATGATCAACAAGTTCTTCACTGACAAACAGTCAACCAGGAGAGAAGCACCAAATATGGTCCATTCTAGCTCCAAAAAAACAAGATTGCAACAGCGAAAATCCAGAAGATAAGATCTAAAAACAATTCTGCTAACAAGTAGGCGACATCACAGTGTCTACACAGAGTTTCTTTAGAAACCAAACATAGAAACACACCATCATCTTAGGCCATCTGACAGAGTGGCTGTCACAGTACTGTGTGCATCATTATGTAATGAGAAGTGATGAGTCAGGGAGTGTATGCATGCAGACGCACCGGTGCAGGAGTATTCGTCCACTCTGATGAAGCCTTGCAGACAGTCACAGCGATGGCTGCCGGGCAGGTTGACACACATCGTGTTGGATTGGCAGTAATGCATCTGAGTCGCACACTCATCGATATCTGAGGACAAACAGAACAGATAGAGAGGGTTGATAAAGAGTTCTCCATAGACACTCAGGACACAGAGAGAGAGATAGCTCTGGCAATGGAGAAGGCAGGTAGATAAAACTCATTTAACACGGATGCATTTATCTGATTAATCAGGCGGAGTCGATCGGTGTCACCTTGCTTCTAATACAGTATTTAATTTAAGGGGTTCAAAAAAAGGATCCAAAATTGCTTACAACAGCCTTTTACAAATGCACTCCAGGACACGCTGCCCCTAAAATCTTCCTGACTTTCCTTTTCACATATGCACCTTTCAGGGGGAGACTTTCTTTTGGGTGGGGTGAGGTAGGGTGACATTCAGTATAAAGGATTACAGGCGGAGCAAAACAGTCTGACACTATTATGACCGTTTATGCTTTTATATCAATTCTACATGTTGGCTGTATCCACAGTATCAACTAAAGACTGGAAAAGAACAAACTAGTGAGCAGAAAAGAGTGACATGCAGCTTAATTCGCTCCGGTCGCTCACTGCAGTTGTGCCCTTTCATCCTTGCCCTCTCTCCTGTGGGGAATTCTTCCTGAATATTTCCTGCTGGGTTAACACATCAGCTCATCCCAACATCCCAAGGAAATTTAACTGGTGGGCCGGAAGGAAAATCAGGGCAAAGTTGGAGTGAAAAATGTGTCTGTTTGCAGCTCACCCTGAAAATGTAAGGCAATTTTGGGGTGTTTGTTCAAGTTTAATAACATCTAATAACACAGATGAATAAGGCTTATTGTTGTGAGGAGGACTTATTTCCCCATGCAAAAATGTATGAACCACAGTGTGTTTTTTTTCCTTACAGCAAATGAGTATGAGGTACGAAAGGCCTAGACAGAAGGAAAAGGAGAATAAAATGGACAAATAGGAGAAGAGAGAAAGTTAAAGGCGGACATAAAACAGAGGGCTCAGAAATGAAAACGGCAGAAAGGCAAAGGAAAGAGGATAAAAAAGGAAATCAGATGAGACAATGACCTATAAAACGAAGAGGACGAAGGACAGCAGAGAGAGTAGAGCATCTTTCTCTGACATCAATAATGTTGGGCTAAATTGTCACATTTACATCCCCTCTTTATCGAGTACCTCTCTTCCTAATGTAGCTTGAAAGACATTGTATGAGCATTAAAACACAGAGTATTAGATGAGCTGGATGAGTGTTGATGAAATGGGATCAGAAACGCACAAGGGAGGTGTTATGCAGGAGGGCTGAAATTTGTGTGTGTGTGTGTGTGTGTGTACACAGTTTTGAGTATTTATATGGAAGTGAGCAGCAGAGAATCAGCTTTCCTGAGGCTATAACAGGCCTTTCCACCACTTAAGGGAGGCGGTATGCTACACTTAAGGGAAAGGGAGAAAGTGAGAAGAGTATTTCCATATCCTCTCCTTGGATAAATACATTCCAGCTTTGAGGTCTTCAGCCCACACTGTCCCCCCTTACAACAGAATGAATTTGTATGGAGTGTGTAATTGACTTACATGCAACAGCCAGAGGTTTTTTCTCTGAAAATTTCATCCTCAGAGAGTGTACAGTAGGAGCGTTGAATTGCACAATCAAAGGGAGACGGATCGTGTATTCAGGCGTACAAAGCCTTGCCGGCCTTCAGCATAAAAACGCATTGATCTGCTACATCAAAAACATCTGAACTTGCTCAAGTGCTGGAGTGCTGGAGGCTGCGAAGAAGTACCTGAATCCAATTTTCATCTCGTCATGAAGTCCTTCTACGCCCAGAAACCTGCTCATTTAATTATAGTATATCCGAAAACGGGCGCCAAAGAGTTGTTCAAGCACGAGGATGGCTTGCGTGTTATGTCTCGGAAAACGCAGCCTCAATAATTCAAAGTCGAGAAACTCGCTGCCTTTGTTCGCTTTCATTTAAAGGGGGGGGAGCATCTACTGTCAGGTCTGACAATGATGAGGCTTTCTGATCTTTGTCCTTTTTTTTCCAATAGGCCTGTTGTCCCCTGTGTTTGTGCTTCTGACCGTCTGTGTGTGGGCGAACGTGTCCTCTGCGGCCTCCTCTGGGAGTGTCGTAGCATGGTGAGGTCTGCTGACAGAACTGGAGCTGTCATTTCACACAGGATGGGAATTCATTTCCCTGGATTTGCTGGTGTGTCTCTCCCTGTTTCCCCCACCTCCCACCACCACTCCTCCTCCCCCAACCCCCCCCCCCCCCCCCCCTACAGCCCAGACCTTCTCCTCCCACCACTCCTCCTCCTCTTTCTCATCCTCCTCCTACCCCTCCCCTCCCCCCCCTCCAGCCCAGACCTTCTCCTCCCATCTCCCTCCTCGTCATACTCCTCCTCTGAGCTCACTTTCTTCATCTCGCTGCTGCTTTATTCATGCTGTGATGTAGGTCAGGGCTGAGGAGGGGAACAGCTAAAAATAAGGCAGGATAGGAGTCTCTGCGTGCATGCATTTGCGTGTGTGTGTGTGAGAGCGAGAGTGTGTGTGTGTGTGTGTGTGTGTGTGTGCACCAGCTCATTCTCTGTGTGTTGGGAGAGAGAGAGAGAGAGAGAGAGAGATTGTGTCTGGCTGTTGAGCGTTTAAATGGTGTGAGGCAGAAAGAGAGAAGGCTCATTTTGTGTGTCTGTGTGTGTGTCTTTGTTTGTTTGTATGTGTGTGTGTGTGTGTGTGTGTGTGTGTGTGCCTGCACAGAGGACAGGGAGTGATGCATGTGTGCACTATTATGTGCCTCACCCCTCACTGTACAGAGGTTAATGGAAACAGCTTTCTATCCAACAGCCATATTGTCTCCTGCTGACTTAAAAATTCCTTCATTTCCTCGCCTGTAATCAACCAAGATTGTGTTTGTGTGTTTCTACATGTGTGATCATTCTCTTGCAGCAGCTCATCTATTGGTCTTTTTGAAGTCCAATGGATGAAGCCGCCACACTTTTTTCTCAAAAGGTTTCTATTCAATGTCAGAAGAGTTTATCAATTTCCTGTTTAGGTTTTCAGTTGGTTTGTAGCTCAGCAGGTGTTTTCAAAACCAGAGTGCTGTGAAGCTCCTGATAGAGCACGTAATTCTTCACTCGACCAGAACTACTTCCGTCCAAATGCCATAACCCCTCCTGATTCAAATCCCAACCTTACCAATGCCTCCTACACACGCACACACGCCATTCACAAGCATGCACGCACGCACAGATCCCATTTACACAGCAATCAGCATTCCCCTCTTCTGTGACCTCGCTCTCTCTCTCTCTCTCTCTCTCTCTTTCCATCTCTATTTTCATGCACACAGAAGTTAATTTCACCCAGCAATTACACTCAGTGATAATTGAGGCTTTCACCAAGCATTGCTTTGCTTTCACACACACACACACACACACACACACACACACACACACACATACACGCACACACAAAGAAAACTGAATATTTCATTCAATTTCATCTAATGCACTCGGTGTACACAGCTAATCATTTTTTTTTTACAGCTTCATTGAAACCCAATAAACAACTGAAACCGTGTAAATGAGAAAAAAAAAACGTTTTTCTATAATAGTCAGTTTTACGATGTCTATATAGCAGGTTTAAATTACTGCAGAGCAACATTAATATAGGAAATGAGATTTAACGGCAAGGAAACTCTTTTCAGTAAAGATAACGATGGAGAAGTTTTTGACTGCAGGCAAAGTCATCTAACTATGTTGGGAGGTTATTGAAGTACAGTATTTAATTACTTTATTTTTATTTAAAAGGAAGGCATGTGAGCAAGGAAAACAAATACAGTAACTAGCTCCCTCACCCCAGCAGTATTGAGGGTCACCCTGTTGATTTTGTGACTGATTAGAACTTCATTATTAAGATGGTCCAAGTTGAATGCATGGTCTGGTCTGAATGTGTTGCATTGGCACAGGAATATGCCTTTAATAGCTCCAAGTTGTGTTATCAAATCTGTGTTTTTACTGTTCATCCATGAATTATTTGGGTTTTTTGTAGCGATTTATGTGGCCTCTGAGTTAGCGGAGAAAAGCTTGACTGTTGCTTAACCACAATGAATTTGTGTGTGTGTGGTTTAGATGTGTTAAAAACAATAATGCTACAATTTTTTGGAGTTGTTTGAAAGTTATATTAAGTAGGCAGTCAGGGTGAAAGTATTGAAAGATATCTGCAGACCGAGGCCAGAGGCTCTGCTCCTCAGCTGAGCTCACATCGACAGACCTCAGACCGGAGCCCTTGTTCTACGGGCGCCCTCAGTCCTTCTTGTTAACATCACTTCTCGTGTGCACAAAGGAGGATCTGTAAGAGGCCTAAGGAGGCAAAAGGCAAAAGGTTTGTGAGGTTCTAGCACAATGAAGAGGATTCATAGAAAGTTCGGAAATCCGGTCTGAGAGATGAGAGTTCAGGGAGAGGCCCAACTCTGAAGAGATGTTGAAAAGGACAGTCAGTGGCCCTAGATGAAAAAGAAAGGACTCCACTTTGTCCCAAACGGGGCGAAAATGGTTTCTGGAGAAATGGTTTCAAATCCGCCCTTCTTTTGAATCCAAAAAGTGCCTGGTTGCTGTCCCTTTTCTGTTTCTGCTGGACTGGGGTCAGGTCCTTAATAAAATGCATGTCTCTTCTTGAAGCCAATACATGGCTCTGGACTCTGTGTATCATGGAGCTTTGAGGTTCTTAGTGGTTAATGTGAGCGCCCCATGTATGGAGGCTGTCGTCTCAAGCGGGCGGCCCGGGTTCACATCCCACCTGTGGCCTCCTTCCCGCATGTCATTCCCCACTCTCTCTCCCTGATTTCCAACTCTATCCACTGTCCTATCTCTCCATTAAAGGCACAAAAAGCCCAAAGAAAAAAAAAAACTCTGCCTGAGCTCGGCTGAGAATGATGTAATAAAGTCTTCTTATAATGTACCATACAGCCTGAAGCAGGAACACTGATGTTATCCTGAGTCACTTATCAAACACATGAATTCAATTACACTGCATAGACAACAACTGACATGAAGGTTTAATTCTTTCTACAGTA